AAGCAATTTATGTGGTTGTAATTGGCTCTAACGACATAATGTTCAAGGAGTCAGCACCCATTGCTATGTCAGAAGAAGCTTATATGGATTTCTTGATTTCAAGACTCAAATTAGCACTTACGGTTAAATTTCCTTCTTTAAGACTTACATATGTTGGCTGAAATAAAAAAGTTAGAAGCACACACACTAAGAAAATTCCTTTGCAGACACTCTACAACTTGGATGCTAGAAAGATTGTGGTGAGCAACGCTGCACTTCTTGGCTGTATCCCATTTGAGAAAGACATACATCCAGTTGAGAAGGGAAGTTGTGCTCGTGTGCTAAATAAGATGGCCCAGATATACAACAAGAAGTTGAAGGGCATGCTTGCAGAGCTTAACAAAGAGCTTCAAGGGGCAAAGTTTGTTTACGCAGATAATTATCGAATATTGCAAGATCTCACCCAAAATTATGCTTCATATGGTCTGTATATTCTATGATTTGCAGTTTGTCATGTAACAACTAACAATATTAGTAACCTCTGTTATGTTTGATAGGATTTGAGGTTGCAACTTCTGCATGCTGCGCGTTTGCCGGGAGACGAGGGGGACTGGTACCCTGCAATCCTTTATCTAAAGTTTGTCCCGACAGAACAAAGTACGTATTCTGGGATCCATTTCACTTGACGGATGCTGCTTGTGTTGTTGCAACAAGGCATATTATGGATGGCGACTTAACTTATATGTCACCTATGAATTTGAGACAGCTTGTGCAATCTTGAGCTAGCAATCCATGAACCTGAAATGAGCTGAATATGATGTAGGACGACCCTGTTTGTAATTCCAAAAAAAAAACAAGATGGTTCATTGATGAAATAAATGATGGAATCCAAGCTGCATGTGAGTGGGTTTTGAAGAATTTCAAGCCTTGTTTGGGCTGTGTCATCTAGGCCCAGTATGATTAATTCCAGTGTAGTTCTGTTTTGTTGGTCTTCCACCATCCGAAATAATTATTGGTTCTCAGTCTTTAAACCTATATATCAAACTTTGCTATGAATATTTAATGGCTTTTCTAAAGGAAGTTGAGGTTCCATCCCAAAACTAATTGACAATTGAGGGAGTAGCTCAATATCTTATAAGCTCTTGTTAGATTTTTCAACTTTTCAATGTGAGATATTTTTACCTTCACATTCTCACACGCCATCGCACGTATGACGAATTTTCAAGTCTAACACATGAACAATACATATTGACATAGAGCATATGTGGCCGTTGGGCTTTCACACATAAACAATCCCCATGAAGGAAGTTGAGGTTTCACCCCAAAACCAATTGGCAATGGGCAGAGTAACCCAACTCCTTATAAGCCTTTCCATTCCATGCCATTTACTGAATAATTAAAGTTCAAAATCTGATCTTCTGCTTGTGGTGGTCATGCAAATTTAATTAAGTTAATCTAGCTAATAGGTACTAAAAACATGTGTTAGAACTTAGAATATGGAACAAATCGAGCTGTTCCTGGCATAGAGAGTTAGGCCACAAGTTTCCCATAGATTTAAAAAGTTGAATATATTACATAAGGCCTCCTACCAAAAAGAAAAGAAAAGAAAAAGGTTGTCAATTATGCTTCCTGTGCCGCTGGAATTTCCAATTCCGGTGGATTTATCTTTGTAAGTGTTTTGTGCTAAGGAAGTTTTCTCCTCATGAAGTTTCTTGTTTATTTGTTTCCCTTTTAAAATTCCCATGAAGTTCCATATTTATAAAACAAAATTATGTGAATAATTGATATATAGTACATACATATATGCATAGGGTGATCGAATCAATTTTGACATGCAAATCAGTAATCATGAGACAACTGTCGCGGATGGCGTTCCTGCAGCTCAGAAATTGTTGAGAAAAGCAATTTATGCAGTTGTAATTGGCTCTAACGATATAATGTTTAGGGGGATATTATCCCCCGGGGCTATGTCAGATGAAGCTTTTTTGGACTTTAATTTCAAGACTCAAATTAGCACTTGAGGTCAAACTCAATTAACTACAGTACAAACATATTATTTGTGCAGCTAGCACATCCGTCTTCCTTTGTTACATGACGAGTTTTGTATCGGTATGTTTTGTTATTCACATATTATCGATAATAATATCAAGGTTTTATTAATATCATATCAACAGTTCGTCCTTTAATAAAGAGTAAACGTCTTGTTCATAAAACATATATGTATATATGTATCGGAAGAAACACATTAATATCTGTTTGGGCCTAATTTGACACACACACAGCCCACTTCTCAAAGGCCCATGAAACCAAAACCGGGCTTCAAATTATTGGATCGAGAGAGAGAAAAAGCCTAGCCCACGTCTTTTTCAAAGGTGATAGGAATAAAAAAAATACCAAAGGGATGGCAGTTATGTTTTAGACAGATCAAATAGAAAATTTGGATTGGGCCCAACCTGTTACCATCTCTCAAAAAGGCCCAGCAGCAATTTCTCAAAAATCCACGTGAAACCCACGTGAAACCTTTCTTCTCAGACTTTGAAAAATCAACAAAATCAACTATCACAGAGTTGATTGGGAATTTAAAAGAAAGGGTCAGTGGCTGGCAAACTAGGAATGGACATCTCTGAAAATACTGAAGATCTAATCCCTCTCACACACACATATATATATATATATTCTTCTTTTTTCTCTATTCCAGAGAATGTGATTCTCCCAAGAGATAAGCAAACTTCAATCTCAGAAAGAAATAAGCAGGAAAGTAGGGAGTTGTTCAAACTGAAGAAATCAAACTAACCATCACAGTTGAAATCTCATAAGGGGCAGTTAAATTGGGAAAAGGGACTAGGTTTTCTTTTAAAGAAAAAACATAGATGTGATCTTAAGAACTGATATTGATGAAAGCCTATCTGACTGAATTAAAATCCCTTCCTCTCTCCTGAAATACTTTGTAGATCCTTTTGAAAAGACTTGCCGCCCATTATTTTAAGAAAAAAACTCCACTCCTAAGCATTTCTTGTAAATATAAGAAGGAGTGAACAGGGCAAAGTAAAAAAACAACAAAAAATTCATCAACCAAACAAACAACAAGAAATCAACCAAAAGCTCACTCGAACTCCAAGAGAAACTAGCTTTAGGTCAAAATTCCCAAAGTTCAGGCTTAGAAAATAAATCATTTAAAACGAAGATCTCTCTCTCGTTACAAATTTGGTTCAGTAAAAGCCAAAACAAGCAGAGTTTGAGTTTTTCCCAAAACCTCAACAAAATCTTACAGTGCAGTCCCCAGCTTACTAAGTCCTCAAGAACAGCCACTTCTGCCCCTTCAGACTGAAGAAGTAGCAGTTCTGCTAACTCAAAAGCCTCACAAAGCTTGAAGTAGATTAAAGCTCTGCCAAAATTGAACTTTGGTATCGATTTACAGCTGAAGCTTAGTAGTTGAAGTTGTTGACAGCTTAGTCCGGCCGAGACATATCCAGTCCAGCCCGGATCAGAGCCTTCTATCTAGGCAGAAATGGAGTTCCAATTGTCTTTTAATCCTTCTAGCATTGATATGTATGTTTATAGTCTTGTAAAGGGCAATTCTGCCTAAAACAGTCCAATTTCTATCAACTATTCTGGCCAGAACAACCATTTTTATACTGAGATAAATTATGAAAGTCCTCACCAGTCTGAGGCAAGAAAAGAACTTACTTATGAGATATTCCTCACCCAAATTCACAATCGTTTGTTTTAGGGAGCAAGTTATCTATTCTAGAAGAAGTCTACTAGAATTTTCATTGCCAGGAGTGGCACGCTCAAACACTAAAGAAAGCTGACTTGTTGACCAGTCAATGGTTTCCAAGGCAGTGGGGAACTTTGCCATTCCAACTCAGGAGTAAACACTAAACGGGTGAACAATTTGGCACGCCCGGTGGGACTTCTTAGTATACATGCTCTGATAGAATTATTTTCAAGTTTATGAATATTGGAAGCTCAAGCCAGAACCCGCGCCACGCCATGGAAATAAATCAGGTAGCTCTCAGGGAAGGTCTGGAGTCAAAAGAAAGTGACACCAGATAATCAGCCCATGGCAGTACCGGAAGCAGACGATCCAGGACCGACTCTAGGATGATGAACCAAATACAGGAATCTGTGCTCCGACAGGATGTCACAACACAAAGAAGCCAGGATACTCTCAATAACATGACGGCCATGATGCAATGGCAGGTCAATAGGCAGCTCAGAAAGGATCGTGAGGCTGCCATTGCCAGAATTCCAAATCCGGATGTTGTAGTCCAGCAGCTAGACCTCCCCTATGGTCCTCCACTAGGATTAGCATGGCCATACCAGGAGAACCCTCTCATTGCACAAATAGCTTGGATGCCAGGGCATGAAGAGATCCAGACTGGACAGAGGGGAGAAGCCATTCCCGTCCAAGAACGTGAGACCCCAATCCTGCCAGTAGGCCCTGCACCAGTTCAGATCTAGCAGAACCGGCCAGAACCTCAACCTATTCCACAACCTGTGGCCCCCACATAATCAACATTTGGCACTTCTGCCGAAGCCACCGGCAGTTTTGCCATATAGGCCCATAAGGATGGATCCCAATTCATTCCCTCCACCTGCAAGAGGCAGAAGAGGCAGAGGGGGAAACAACTCTTTTGCTAACAATAACAGGGACATGCTGTGGGCAAACTGGAGGAACCATCCAGACTTAGAAGAAGAGGAAGAACACAGGGAGGAAGTTCTGCCCAGGCTATATAGGGCAGAACCCAGGATTGATCCCATCCAGCCAGAACAGGGACCAAACCTGCACCCTGTCAATGCTTTGAACGACGTAGGGGCATTACAAAGAATGATCAGAGAAATGATGGAACCTGAAGCCAGAAAGGGAGAAAGGCCCACCTATAGGAGGCCATATCCAGCTTATATCGATCAGATACCTCTATCCCCAGGCTTCAAAGTGCCAAACTTCACCTTGTTCAATGGGGAGAAGCCCCATGCTTCGTTGGTTGAGCATATAGGCAGGTTTTCTGTCCAATGCATAGCCATAGAAAATAACCCACTGTTAAAACTGAGGCTTTTTGGCAATTCTCTCTCTGGACAAGCTTTCACCTGGTACACTAGTCTGCCAGCCAATTCTGTTCAGACTTGGGAGCAAATGGAAAGTGTTTTCCATGACTATTATTACTGGATTCAGCCAGAAGCCACCATCAGTGATCTTGCCGCCCTTAAGCAGAGTGAAGATGAACCTGCTCAAGATTTCATAACCAGGTTCAGAAAGCTCAAAATTAAGTGTTAGATCCCTATGGAATAAAGACACTTCATCCAAATGGCTCAGGCTGCCCTCAAGATCTCTCTGAGAAAAAGATTTGATGGGATACTGTTTGGAGATCTGGCAGAACTGGCAGATAAAGCATCCAAGTACAAGGAACTGCTTAGGGAAGAATAACAGAGGAGAAACTCTTCCAAAGGCACGTATTACAAGTCCCCTTCTTCTTCAATACACCTAGTTCAGATAGAATCAGAAGAAGAAGTAGAGGGCTCGAAGGAGGGAGAAATTGTAGTAGCAGAGATGGCAAAGTTGAAACATCCCATCAGCTGCAAGGCCCTTACAAAACCACCAAAGGATCAGAAGCCGCCACCATTCACAAGAGGGTTTGTTCCGAACAAACCAACGTAGAACAAGGTTTATTCCTTTGATCTGACCAAGGTGGATGCTTTATTTGATGAAATGTTACTACAAAAAGCAATAGAGACACCCCACAGGATGCCCAAGCCAGAAGAACTCAAGGGCAGGCAGTATTGCAGGTGGCACAACTCTTGGAATCATTCTACCAATAACTGTGTTGTTTTCAGAGATGTTATACAAGAAGGAATAATAGCAGGAAGGCTAAAGCTGGCGGAGAAACCTCCATCAGTCACAACAGATCATTTTCCCCCGCCACAAGTCAACATGGTCAACCTAAATTGGCCAGAACAGAAGAGAAGCAGATCGACGACAGAAGCTAGCTCTATCAGAGGCAGAATAGTCACAAGGGAAACTATTGAAATGCCAAAAGCAACTATCTCAGCTGGGGTAGTGCTCTGCAGCAAGTACAAGTGTGAAACTGAGCTAGAAGTGGTCCTAGACAGGCAGAGTTAGCCCATTCCGAGTGTTTTTTACAGGATTGGAACCTCATCCCGAGATAGAGCTAGGCAGAAAGACTATCCCAGGCCTGCCCAGCGCAGCAGGAGAATGACATAGCAGCCCAAGAAGGAAATACCAATCAAGATGCCCGGGAATAAAAAACTCTTGGCAACTATCATAGAAGACAGATGGTATTCTGTGGGGAAAAGTGGCAGACCAACTCTGGAGATAACCAGAACTCAGAAGAGGAGGGTTCAAAGACAATACTACACATTCCTCAAGAGCAAGAGTAATGCACAGGTACTTCCAGAAACCAGTTCTGTCAGAAAAGGGAAGGAACCAGAAGTGCCTCCTCTGGTAGAACAAACAACCTGCCAGGCATAAAAGCTGGTAAAAATAGAATCTCCAGATATACCTCCTATCCATCATGCCCCATCCTCAATCAATCAACTCGAGCCTTCACAAGTACAAGGTGAATCTAAACCCATCCCAGTAAAAGAACAAGAAGATTAGACTGAAGAGTATGAAGAGGAGCAGCTGGATTATGAACCATCTGCAGACGATCAAAATGGACTCCTCGAAACAGGAGAACAGGAAGACTAGACAGAAGAGTACGGGGAATAGCAGATGGAATATGATGGAGAATTAGATGAAGAAACTGAGGCTTTTGGTGCATAATTGGAAAACTTGTTGCAGGGAGATCTAGGCATTAACATGGTGTTCATCCTGCCAGAGAAGTTCAGAGCCGCAATAGGAGAAGAAAACACTCTGGAAGGAGATGTTTTCTCCCAGGAAAGCTTTGAGTGCAGGTTGGCAGAAGTAGAGGAGACACCAGAACAGCAAACAGGCAATCCCAAGACTGGTGGAACTGCCAACAAACCGGTTGTAGAACAACTTTGCTTCTCCAAACCAACCAAAGAGATAGCCAATCACCTCAGACCCTTGTTTATAACAGCAAACTTTTGGGGTATTCCTATTCCCAAGGTCATGGTAAATGGAGGTGCAGCCATTAATCTTTTGCCTCACAGGATGCTGAGCAAGATGGGCAGAACAAAGAAGGATTTGATTCCAACACGCTTAACCGTCACCAATTTCGCTGGGGGCATCACCAAAACCCATGGAATCTTATATGTGGATGTTATAGTTGGAAGCAAAAAGCTGAAGATTGCATTCTTTGTGGTAGACACCACTTCTACCACTTATAATGCACTGCTTGGCAGGAACTGGATTCACCAGAGTCTATGTATTCCTTCACTCTCCATCAGCAGTTAGCTCTGTGGAATGAAGAGGGTTACATGGAGATATCCACGGCTATTTCTACCTTCTGCCATGTGTTTTGAGGCAAGGTATTACCATGATGACCTTGGTCCTGTCACTTTCCTTAGAGTCAACCAGAATGGCCACCCCCATAGTGTCACGGCGAAGAGGCTCATTGAAGATGGTCTAGCCAGTTCCCTAGAGGACTGGAATAGACCTTTTGTTCTAAACCTCCAGAACTCTTATGTTTAGTCCCAATCAACAGAAAAAGGATCGAGCTGCAACAATATGATCCATTACAAAAAGATTGTTGATATATTGGGAGGAAAGAAAGCTCTTCATGCAGAATCCAGCCATCAATATGGCAGAATTCACCCATGAAAGCACGAAAGATCAAGAGGAAGAGAGTTTGCAAGAGGAAGTATTAGATTTTGCACCAGCAGCACTGGATGATTCTCTGCCAGAAGTGGAAGATCCTTTGCAAGAAACAAACTTAGGGACAGAAGAGAATCCAAGACCTACTTTCATTAGCGCACTGTTGAAAGAACCACTTAAGAGTGAACTAATTGCACTTTTGCGGGAGTTCAGAGATTGTTTTGCTTGGCATTATCATGAAATGCCAGGGTTAGACAGGGAATTGGTAGAACACAAGCTGCCAATTAAAGATGGCTACATTCCAGTTAAACAGGCCAGAAGAAGAATGTCTATGGACACAGAATTGAAGGTCAAAGAAGAAATAGAAAGGTTGCTTAAGGCTGGATTCATCAGCCCAACCATCTATGTTGATTGGCTAGCCAATATTGTACCGGTTCTCAAAAGAAAACAAGGGCAGTTAGAATCTGTGTGGATTACAGAAATCTGAATGAAGCATCTCCCAAAGATGAATACCCTATGCCAATGGCAGACATGCTAGTAGATGGAGCTGCTTATAACCAGATGCTATCTTTTATGGATGGCAATGCAGGTTATAATCAGATTATGGTGGCAGAAGAAGACATCCACAAGATAGATTTCCTGTGCCCAAGACATATAGGTGCTTTTGAATATACTGTAATGCCTTTTGGTTTAAGAAATGCAGGAGCTACTTATCAAAGAGCAATGAATTCTGTTTTCCATGATATGATAGGGCATTCTTTGGAAGTGTATATAGATGATGTGGTGATTAAATTCCCAGAGGAGGGAAATCATACATCAAATCTGAGAAAGGCATTCCTAAGAATGAGGCAACATAAACTGAAAATGAACCCCAAGAAATGTGTTTTTAAAGTTCAAGCAGGAAACTTCTTAGGATTTTTGGTCCACCAGAGAGGCATAGAGATTGACAAGAACAAAGCAAAATCCATCATAGAAGCTCTACCATCTCAGAACAAGAAAGAACTGCAGAATCTCCTAGGAAAAATTAATTTTTTAAGGAGATTCATATCCAATTCTGCAGGAAAGATTCAGCCTTTCTCTTCTCTGTTAAGATTGAAGTAGGAACAGACGTTCAAGTAGGAAGAACAGCACCAACAGGCTTTCGAGGAAATCAAGCATTACCTCTCAAATCCACCAGTTATGTCCCCGCCAAAGAGAGGCAGACCACTCAAGCTCTATGTGTCTGCATTAGAAGTGTCCATTGAGAGTCTGTTAGTCCAAGATAACAAGGAAGGGAAGGAACAGGCAATCTACTATCTGAGCAGAACCCTGACAGAAGTAGAAAGAAAATATTATGCAATTGAAAGACTTTGCCTAGCCTTGTACTTCACTGCTGTGAAGCTCAGACACTACATGCTGCCATATATCATCTACATCATTGGCAAGACAGATCTAATCAATTTCATGCTAACAAGACCAATGCTGAGAGGCAGAATTGGAAAATGGACTCTAGCCTTGACAGAATTTGCCTTCAGATATGTTCCTCAGACAGCTGTCAAAGGACAAGTTGTGGCAGATTTCCTAACAGATCATACAGGAGAAGAGATTGAAAACATGGGCTCTTTGGACATAGCAAATGCGGATCTGTTGACTAGAGCTCACACTTGCCTTAACAATCATATCTATTCAATTCATCTCACACCTTGGAAGCTGTATTTTGATGGGTCAAAAACTGATGTAGCTTCCGGGGCAGGGATTGTATTGGAGGAACCGTTGGGAATCAGACATTGCTATTCTTTCCAGTTAGATTTTCAATGCACCAACAACAGGGCTGAATATAAAGCTCTAATTATAGGCCTAGAAATGCTGGTGGAGTTAGGGATCCAATCTGTGGAAATCTTGGAAGATTTCATGCTTGTCTTGAAGCAGAATGCTGGAGAATACAAGTGTCTAAGTCCTTTCCTAGCTGTCTATTTAGTGGCAGCTAGGAATCTTCTGACAGAGTTTAGAGAAGCTACTTGGGAACATATCCCAAGGAAGGAAAACTTTGCAGCCAATGAACTGGCTCAAGTAGCAACAGGTATACAAATGCCTGAAGATTGCGTATAGAGGATTATCAAGGTGGGAAAGAAAAGCCTGCCATCAGTTCTGACCAGAGGATGGAGATAGATGTCAATTCTGCCATAATCACTGAAGATGATTAAAGAAATACTATCATAACCTACTTGCAGTATCCAACCTTACCTTCTGAAAAAGAGTTAGAATCATGGCTTTGAACTACCTTATGTGGAATGGAAATTTGGTCCGAAAAAGCAAGGATGAGGTGCTATTAAGGTGCCTTGGGAAGAAAGAATACATGAAAGTCATAGGAGAGACTCATGAAAGAATCTGTGGAGCTCACCAAAGAGGAAGAAAGATATGCTAGTTAATCAGAAGGTATGGCTACTTCTGGCCAATCATGATAAAAGATTGCATTGACTATTCCAAGAGGTGTGAGTCTTGTCAAAGGCACGGCCCAATCCAGCATGCTCCTTCAGTTCCCATGAATCCAATGGTAAAGTCATGGCCTTTTAGAAGATGGGCAATGGATCTTATTGGCAAGATTTATCCAGCCAGCAGCCAGCAACACTGTTTTATTATTGTTGCTACAGACTATTTCACCAAATGGGTGGAAACCAAGCCTGTTAAATCCACTACATCTCAAGAGATCATTACCTTCATAGAAGAGCAGATCATACAAAGGTTGGCAGAAGCATTGGATAGCTGGAGAGATGCTAGATATGGCAGAAGCATTCAAATTCAAGCTGCTTCAATCCACAACTTATTATGCTCAAGCCAATGGACAGGCAGAATCAAGTAACAAGGTGATCATCAACATTATCAGAAAAATGCTTGAGAAAAATCCAAAACAATGACATGAGAAGCTATCAGAAACTCTGTGGGCTTATAGAACTTCAAAAAGAGAGGCAACTGGCATGACCTCCTATGCATTAACCTGTGGTCATGATGCAATTCTGCCTATGGAGATAGCTGTCCAGTCCCTTAGAATTTCTCATCAACACAATCTGGTTGGAGAAGACTACTTTCAAGCCATGCTGCTAGAATTGGAAGGATTGGATATAAGTAGGATTGATACCCTCAACAAACTCTTAGCAGGAAAACAGGCTGTGTCAAGGGCCTACAACAAAAGAGTCAAGAACAAGAGTTTTGAAGAAGGATAGATAGTCTGGAAAGCAGTTCTGCCCCTTGGAACACATGTAGCTGGTTATGGAAAGTGGTCACCTACATGGGAAGGTCCTTTCATAATTAATCAGATCGTTGGGATGGGGACATACAGGTTGCAAGATCGAGATGGAGAAGTACATAATGCCCCAATCAATGGCAAGTGGTTGAAGAAGTTTTATCCAACTATGTGGGATTCACAGGCTGTACAGACAGATCCTGGGATAGAGAAGGAACAAGACTGAAACTATTTGTTTCAAATTCTGTTCAGAGTTATTTTTGCTCTAAGTTGTTTAAAGTTTGTTTACCTTTCACTTTTTACTTCTGTTTATTTCATCAAATGAAATTAAAAACCCAAAAATTGCAGCGAATAAATAAACTTTTATAAAAAAATAATAAAGCCACTATCATGGCAAATTATTCAAACATAAAGCCGAAAATTAAAAAAATTTAAAACCCTAATTTCCTAAGGGTTTCTTGCAAGTTCGCTTTCTTGATGGAGAGTTCCTTCTGAAGCAGCACCCCCTGGTAGATTGAAGCCTCTGCAATTTTCAGGGCTGGCCTGGAAGCTACAACCATGCTCTGAACAAGGAAGATAGCCTTGGTCTTGGAATTCAGTCCAACCCCGAGCCTGCTCTGCACCTCTCTGCACTCCGCCAATTATTTTTGGAGCTCTTCAATCTGCTTCTCCAGCTTGTTTGCGGTGGCCTTAGCTTCCTTGTATCCTGCCACCATCTGGTCCAGTTCTGCCTTCTGCTTTAAAAAATCAGCCAAGTTGGCTTCATGAGTGGCCTTGCAGAACTCAGAGTCTTGAAGGTGGGCTTGAGATCCTCATAACGATCATGGAGGTTGAGCACATCTCTTGCCAGGCCAAGACTTATCTCAAGAATGGGTTTGGGGGCCATGTTCTGTCTATGCAAAAGGTCCAGATCTTTCATCAGCTGGTCAATGGCTTCCTTATCCTCAACCAGCTCCAGCTCAGTAGACTGCCAGATCTTCAGTCTCTCCATGGCCTCCTCCATTGCCTTGGATTTTGCCTTGCCTAGAAGGGAGCTGAGTTTTTCCAATCTGTCCAGCTGGGCATCCAGGTCCATAGCTTCAAACTCTTCCAGTTCTAGATCAGCAAAGGAGGCCGTGGTAGATGAACCTGGAAGGGAATGAATAGGCATCTGCAAAAGGGAGCATAAGTTAGAACCAGGCAGAAACAGAAAAGAAAAAGGCTAAAAATATAAAAAAGCACTTACAGCAACAATTGGGGGCTGGTCACCACTGCCAGGGCACCAACAGATCTAGGCACTCCTACCTGGAAGGACTACAACAGTTAAAGAGGCAGAACAAAGCAGAATTGCAGGAAAATGTGGACAGAATGAAGAGAAAATTACCACAACCGCAGGAATAGCAGCAGCTGTTTCCACTTCAGCTTCTAGGACCGCAATAGGTAATTCTACCTGTTTCACAAGCTCCAATGCAGATTGCTCCGCTTGTTCCTCAGCTGCTGGAATGGCAATAGAGTGATTTGCCTCTGCATCTTCAAAGAGGGCCAACTCTGAACTGGTTAGCTCTGCCCTTGTGCTCTCTTGCTGCTTCTGCGCCAAGGCAATGCTCTCTGCTATTACCTCAGCAGAAATCTCCTCCTGCAGAAAGACAGAAGTCAGAATAGAGGAAATGAAAGACAGAAATGACTAATATAAAGAACGAGACTTACCTCTTCTTCTGTTTCTTTTGTCTTTTCTTTAGATCTTTCTTCTACTTCTTCTAGCTCTTTCTCCCGTTCCACCGCTTCAAAAGCCTCCCTAAGTTCTTCATCTGTACCAGAAGTGGTTGTGGGAACCACTGCAGGCTCTTCTGTAGCCACATACTCCACTTCAGTCATCTTTCTAAGTCTTTTTGACTTAGTAGGAGGAGGATGGGGACTTTCAGCTGGACAGAACAAAGAAATGAAGGTTAAAATGGGAGAACAACTTTTGACATTCTTTGTAAGATACGTTTTGATGATATTCATACGACAAGTCTTTATAATTTCAATTATGGCAAATTAGTATTACAATTTATATATGTACACTATTTTTGCAACAATGTAGAGATATGTACTTAAATTAACTTCACTACTTTCTCATTTTGTTATGACAGAACAGGAATTGGGTTTCGCACATTTTACTCCTCCTTACTTGGCACCAACTACTGTTGGAGACGCACTTCTGCAGGGTGTCAATTATGCTTCCGCTGGCTCTGGAATTTTCAATTCTACTGGATATATGTTTGTAAGTTTTCCCCCAAACCTACAAGTTTTTGGACTTAAGGAAGTTAGCAGTCTTAATTCAGAACTAAACGAGTTGTATTATGCGTTCAAATTAGTTTCCTGATGCTGAGGAAGCTAATTTTAACTTTAATACATACCATACCACGGTGTGCAATTTACTTTTATTAATTGTAAGTCAGAATATTATGTACGTATATAATAGGGTGACCAAATCAATTTTGACATGCAAACGAGTTACCATGGAAGAACCGTGCTTGCTATCATGTCGAGGATAGGCACATTCCTGCAGCTCAGAAATTGTTGAGAAGAGCCATTTATGGGGTTGCAATTGGCTCTAACGATATAATGTTCAAGGAGTCTGCACCCGTGGCCATGTCCAAAGAAGCTTATTTGGATCTCTTGATTTCAAGACTCAAATCAGCACTCACGGTAAGTAAAATCAGTGTTTTCAAAGGCATGCCTAAGCGCGCGTCGGAGCCCGCGTCGGAGCAAGGCGGAGGGAAATCGCCTTAGGCGTACGGTTGTTTAGCTTGTTGCCCGCTTAGCGTGGTGAGGCGTGGCAAGGCGTGCAAGGCAAGGCGTGGAAGGCGCAAAGAAGCGCCGCTGTCTGCAAGCCAGAGCGCTAGGAAGAAGACGACCTGGCTTGAAATTTGTTTGTTAGGGTTTGTTTTAGTGAAACGACGTCATTTCATGTAGTCAATTGTTTTTTTTTTAAACTGAGGTGACTAAACGTACGTTTTGGTTTTTATTTTTTAACAAACAGCATGCCTTAAAAGGCCCCCACTGAAACAAACGATATTTCCTTTTTTTTTTTTCTTCTAAATAAATACATTAATGGATCTATCAATATATTCTTAATGCGATAATCTCCATCAATTTTAATTCTTTCCATAAGTTCAAGCGTCTCTCTCCTTCAGTATGCAATTCTCTTTGTACAAGATTCATTTAAATATATATATGCTTTTTTTTTCCAAACAACACAATAACCAACTAAAAATAACACTCAAGTCCACACATAAATACCGAAAATTATAGTATTTTATGTTTCATAATGAGGAGTGGGATGCATGAATTGAGTTTTTTTTTTTTATGTTGAATAAGTATTTTATGTTTTGAGATTGATTATTATGCTTGAATGACATTTAGTACTTATATTCTTTATAGAATATTCTGGCTCAATAAGAATTAGCAGTACAATTAATCTGTATTATTATTTATAATTTTTTTATTAAAATAAATTAATATTCGAAAGGCTTACGCCTCGCATAGCGGACTAAAAACGCATTGCCTCTACGCCTCGCCTTTTAAAACATTGAGTAAAATTCCTTAATAGAGACTATTGACTCATGTAAACTAATCACATTAATCTTTAGTAGTAGTTTTGTACAGATTAATTTGACGATTTTTTTTTTTGTTCCTTCTTTGCAGACACTCTACAACTTGAATGCTAGAAAGATCATCGTCACCAACGCTGGAGCTTGTGGGTGTATTCCATTTGAGAAAGATATACATCCAGTTCCAAAGGGAAGTTGTGTTCGTCTGATAAATCGTATGGCTCGTACATATAAGTTATAACGACAAGTTGAAGGGCATGCTTGCCGAGCTTAACAAAGATCTTCAAGGGGCAAAGTTTGTTTACGTAGATATTTACCGAATAATACTAGATCTCACAAACAATTATGTGTCATATGGTGCGTATATATTCTATCTTTTGCGGCATTTATTTGTTTATTTATAATGTAATAACTATAACAATATTAACCTCTGCTGCTGCTGCTGCTGTTGTTGTTGTTGTTGCTGTGTTTCACTGTATGCAGGCTTTGAGAATGCAACTTCTGCATGCTGCTGGTCTGCCGTGGGCCAAGGGGGACTGGTGCCATGCAATCCTTTATCTAAAGTTTGTCCCGACAGATCCAAGTATATATTCTGGGATGTGTTTCACTTAACAGACGCTGCTAATGTTATTGCAGCAAGGCATATAATGGATGGTGGCTTAAATTATACATCACCTATGAATTTTAGGCAACTTGTTCAGTCTTGAGCTAGCATAGCAGTCCCTGAATGAACTGCAATGAGACGCCCATGTTTGTTTTTCAAAAAATCAAGATGGTTCTGTGATGAAATAGACTTTGGAACCAAATCCAAGCTAGCTAGCTATTATGGGTTTTGAGGAATTTCACATTTCAATGTCATTATTTGAAGTTTATAAGTTTTTCACTAATAACCTCAAGAACATTCAAACCTCATCCTAAGTTCAAAACATACTCTTCATAAACATGGCATTAGAACATTATGGGAATTATAATAAGAATGTAAGTATCTTATGCTCTGCAAGGGGCTTGTAGCTCAAGAGCATTTATCCATGCACCTGAGATCCTAGTTTCGATTCCCCCCTCCCCCCATATCGCTTGTATGAAAAAGAAAAAGAAAATAATCTTATGCTCTCTACTCAATCAACCAGTGATATACTATCGGTTTCTGACTTCTAATTTTAAGTCAAATTTACATTTAGGGCATTTGGTTGGACTTTTTTATGTATTTATTTTCTGGTTGAACGGAGGGCTACCGCCCAAACAAAAACGAATTAAGCAACACCCAGTCTAGGTCTAGTACGACCATCTTTATCATCATAGAGGCTGCTCAAGTAACTGATGAAAACTCTGCTGACTATCCAGACTTGATTTAGGCTGAGTACCATTCGGTTCGATTGTTTCAAAGAAGAGTAATTTACTAGAAAGACTGGGACTTTGCAAATTGCAGGTAAAGGATTGCAAAAGAAAACAAGTAAAAAAAATTGAGATTATAAGGAAAAACGTTTACTCCTCATTACTTAGTACAAATTTGTTGAGATTAAAAGGTGCAATCGATTGGTAGGTGTGGAGACGCCAAACTAGTTGAGAAATATGTATGCTGTCATGATCCGTTAGACAGAAGTTTAATGTGATTTTTTTTGTTTACAAACACCATACAGAACCTTAACATTTAATTTAATTTGGGAGACAATAGGTGGTCTTAAGGCAGTAAATTCCATACAGAACCTTGGGTCTTAGGGTCAGGCCACACAGCTAAGAAATCCAATTCCTACCTAAATACAACATAAAGAGAGTGTATTAAGCTCTTAAATGGATTCTCCGATCCCTCTTTTCTTTGGCACCTAAGAAACTTAGCTCAGAAATAATGGCGTTCCAATATCACTGCGGCCGGCCTAGACTGTATAATAGAGGAACAAATCCAACTGTGGCCTGTGGCCTGCCTAGAGAGAGTTAGGCACAAATTCAATGGTGAATTGAGAGGGAATTTCAGAGATCAGTTAGACACAAGTTTTCCCATAGATATCAAAAGTTGTATATAAACAACCCCCTTATAAAAAAGAAAGAATGGTTATTATTATTTCTATATCTTAAAATTAATGGGGATAAATATTATATTCCAAATTTTTGTAGTCTACTTGTTTTTGTTGGTTAGTGTTAAAATTAATGCACATTTGTGTCTTGAATAATATAGAATAATCTAGAAAAATTGAGAGAAGTTGACAAGTTTAAAGTCACTAGAAACATCATACTAATTATAGAATGTATTATAACTAGAGAAATCTAAAATTAGAAGACGACTTATGACTGAAAATGACTTTGGGAAAGTCGGTTACTGTGCAACCGACTGGTCCAAAGCCAAGTTGCCGACTTAGCATCCCTATATATATAAGCTAGCAGCCCACTTATGTATTCAAAGCAAAAGAGGTTGGTTAAGAAAAGTACATTCTAATGAGGTGGAGTGAATTAAGGTATGAAATCCAATTCCTAGCTAGATACCACATAAAGTGGAGTGAATAAGCTCTTAAATGGGTTCTCCGATCCCTCTTTTCCTTGGAAGCTATGAAACTTAGCTCAGACATAATGGCGTTCCAATATCACCGGCCGGCCTACAATGTGGATCATAATAGAGGCAAACATAACAAATCCAACCGTGGCCGGCCGGCCTAGAAAGAGTTAGGTACAAATTCAACCAATATATACTAAGAGGGAATTTAATAGACCAGTTAGGCACAAAGTTTCCCAGAGATATGGAAAGTTGTATATAAAAAACGAAAAGAAAGGTTATTATTATTTCTATCTTAAAATTAATGGGGATAATTATATTCCAAATTAATGGGGATAATTACACTCTCACACGCCCTTGCACATGTGGCGAATTTTTAAGTCTAACACTTGAACAACATATATTGGGTGACATGGAGTACATGTGGCCGTTGGGCTTTCACACATAGGCAATCCTCATGAAGGAAGTTGAGGTTCCATCTCAAAACTAATTGGCAATGGACGGAGTATTCCAACTCCTTATAAGCCTTTCCATTCCATGCCATTTACTGAATAATTAAAGTTCAAAATCTGATCTTCTGCTTGTGGTGGTCCTGCAAATTTAATTAAGTTAATCTAGCTAATAGGTACTAAAAACATGTGTTAGAACTTAGAATATGGAACAAATCAAGCTGTTCCTGGCATAGAGAGTTAGGCCACAAGTTTGCCATAGATTTAAAAAGTTGAATATATTACATAAGGCCTCCGACCAGAAAGAAAAGAAGGGAAAAAAAAAAAAAAGGTTGTCAATTATGCTTCCTGTGCCGCTGGAATTTCCAATTCCGGTGGATTTATCTTTGTAAGTGTTTTGTGCTAAGGAAGATTTCGCCTCATGAAGTTTTTTGTTTATTTGTTTCCCTTTTAAAATTCCCATGAAGTTCCATATTTATAAAACAAAATTATGTGAATAATTGATATATAGTACATACATATATGCATAGGGTGATCGAATCAAATTTGACATCCAAATCAGTAATCATGAGACAACTGTCGCGGATTGGCGTTCCTGCAGCTCAGAAATTGTTGAGAAAAGCAATTTATGCAGTTGTAATTGGCTCTAACGATATAATGTTTAGGGGGATATTATCACCCGGGGCTATGTCAGATGAAAGCTTTTTTGGACTTTAATTTCAAGACTCAAATTAGCACTTGAGGTCAAACTCAATTAACTACAGTACAAACATATTATTTGTGCAGCTAGCACATCCGTCTTCCTTTGTTACATGACGAGTTTTGTATCGGTGTGTTTTGTTATTCACATATTATCGATAATAATATCAAGATTTTATTAATATCATATCAACAATTCGTCCTTTAATAAAAAATAAACGTCTTGATCATAAATCATATATGTATATATGTATCGGAAGAAACACATTAATATCTTTAGTACTTTAATCCTTTTCCACATATTTGACCATTTTCATGAGATAAATTATATGGAACCTAATCCAAGCTGCATGTGTGAGTGGGTTTTGAAGAATTTCAAGACTCTCTTTCTTCTGTGGAACTTAAGACCTAGGCTAGCTGAATGGTTTTTCCTTGTTGCCTGTCGTGCACGAAAGAACAAACTTTTCTAGTGCTCTAGCTGTAAGTTTCGGTTGGGGTTGCTATTTGAGGAATTAGAAATTATAAGCAGAATGGTTTACTCTACTGCGTCAAATTTCGTCCATGCGATAGGTTACTTGCTGGTTTCAAATTTGTACAGGCCTCCTCAGGCCTTTAGGTTCGTTGGTAGTTGAAGAAAGAAAGAAAAGACGTCCTAGTCTTTTTATTTTTCAAGCAGTGCACGGAATCTAGTACATTTGGGTTGCAACTGTTAGCCGCTTGAATCTGCTTCTTTTGGCCACTTGAAACTCTAAACCAGATTTCTCCTCACGAGGGGTTGCTGAATTTGCAGGGCAATCAATAGTCAAACAAAGTAAGGAAGATATTCAAATATGCTCATATATGTTCATATTAGTTTATCTCCAATTAGAAGTATTTATAAAGAAGTACAACTCTAAATAAAATATGAAATATATCTAAATTACAATAGGAAATAAATCTCTATTACAATAGAACTAAATAATAATTGGTAAGTAACCAAAATTCTAACTAAATAAGGAACCAAAATCCTAACTGAGTAAGGACTCGCCAACATCAATGTTGTATACTTCACCTTATGCCATGCTTTGAAAATTTTACAAACAAAGGTGCTCCATACATAAAAACTTAAACAGGGTATGTTTTATTTACCCTAAACTCTTCTTCTACTTAAAGTCTTAATGATCATGTTCACAATATCAAAACTGGGTTAATCTTCTTGTGTAATTTTCTGGTGAAGAAAACAGCTGGTGATCAAAGTACTCGAACTTAGCAGCGCCCGAAACTAATCCCTCTCACTAATGCTGTTTACACTCTGATTATCTAAATGGAAAATAGGAATGGGCAAAAAGTACCGTTATATGTTGCTTTCCTACACCAAATTCAGAGTTTTTATTTAATAAATCAGAAACATCTCACTTCTAGCTAGGTGCTGCTGTTTATTTAAGATTTGTCACATTCTTTCATATCTGAATAGCTGTTGTTGCCTCCTTACGGCTGTGAAATAAGTGGCCAAGTAATTTTAACAAGGTCTGATCTGATATTCTACATTGTTTCCTTACATTCTTTTTGTAATGGGTGGCCTATCAGATAGAGCAACCATTAGCCTTGGCCTTGTTTTCCAAATATCAACAATTTCTTTTGTACTTTGGAAAATATGCTTGGCACAAGATGTTCCTGCCAATTTTGTGTTTGGGGATTCTCTGGTTGATGTGGGAAACAACAACTACATTGTGTCACTCTCCAAGGCCAACTATGTCCCCAATGGAATTGATTTCGGAAAGCCAACGGGACGATACACAAATGGGAGAACAATTGTTGACATTATAGGCAAGTTCTCCATTTTCCCAATTGAATGCTTGTTCTTCTTTCACAGATTCAACAAACAAGGATGGCTGATTAATTTTAGCCTCAACAGGTCAGCAGCTGGGTTTTAAAGTTTCTCCTCCTCCTTACTTGTCTCCCTCAACAACTGGACCTCGAATTCTGCAGGGTGTCAATTATGCTTCAGGTGGAGGTGGAATTCTTAATGACACAGGAAAAATATTTGTAAGCTTAAAAATGGAGCTTTGATACTTCAAATAAATTGATACTATTGTGTGCCTTGATGTGATGAAAAATCTCATGTGATCGTTAGGTGGGTCGAATAAACTTGGATGCACAGATAGATAACTTTGCTAATACCAGGCAAGACATTGTCTCCAGGATTGGCCTTCCTGCAGCTCTGAAGCTATTCAGCAGGGCTCTCTTCTCTGTAACAATGGGCTCCAACGATTTCATCAACAACTACTTGGCGCCGGTTATCTCAATTCCTGAGCAGAAATTGATATCTCCAGAAGTGTTTGTGGCCATTTTGATTTCAAAATACAGGCTGCAACTTACAGTTAATGTTCTTTTTTTTTTCTCTCTATTTTTTCTTCTTTATATGTTGTGATTGTTCTTATGAACAAATCCATGATGCTTGCAGAGGCTGTACAATTTGGGTGCGAAGAAAATTATTGTGGCAAATGTAGGACCTATTGGGTGCATACCTTTCGAGAGGGAAACAACTCTAGCTGCAGGAGATTTCTGCGTTGAAAAACCGAATCAGTTAGCACGATTGTTCAACATCCAATTGAAGAGCCTTGTGAAGGAGCTTAGCACCAATCTTGAGGGGTCCAAATTTGTTTATGCAGATGTTTATCGTATCGTAGATGACATTATCCAGAACCACATATCATATGGTGAGATTTAAATTTAATTCATTCTAGCTATATGAGTTTATCTTAGAATTGTAATTAAAATCAGAGTGATTATGTTTTGTTAACTGCAGGTTTTGAATATGCAAATTCTGCATGCTGCTATGTTGCTGGGCGGTTTGGGGGTCTGATTCCATGCGGTCCTCCATCCAAAGTTTGTAGGGACAGATCCAAGTATATATTCTGGGACCCCTACCATCCATCCGATGCTGCTAATGTGATCATAGCAAGGCGTCTCTTGTATGGTGACACTAATGATATTTCACCAATGAATGTTGTGCAACTTTATCAATCTTAATCTTGTAAAGCATGCCCAGAAGAGCCTGCTAACTATTGATTAGGGGTACCGTAATAAGCTTTCATTATGCCTTTATTTAACCAAAAACCATTCAAGGCTTTTGAATTTCATTACAGCCTTTTTTCATTTAGTAACCTGAACAAATAAACAAGGTGTTGAGTCCTCAACTAGCTATTAGTCTAGTATTACTTCTCTTCCCTATGTTGAAAGAGATCACGAGTTCAAATTTCCTCTTTTCTTGTAACCTTTAAAATCTATGGCATATCAATCACGTCCGCCATCAGTTTGAATTATTATTATTATTATTATTATTATTATTATTGGTAAGTACTATGAGGTGTTCAGGCCAGCTTGCGTGCACCTTGACTAATCCCCACTCATGGAATTAAGCATATTGTTGGTCACCAGGTATTGCAACTGTTGGGACTCGAATTGGGGAGAAATTATTTTTTTTTTTCAACACAAACGATAGTCTAAACTACAAGGGGAACAAGAGTTTCTCATACACTACCAAGGTGTTTGGGTCCGAACCTAAAACCAATAGTCGGCAAGTCAAAACCATTTTTCACTAAGCAAGACCCTGAAAATGCACCATATGATAGTAAAAGCACAGTTGGGCTGGGCCTTTTATGCAATATTCAGGCCTATGAAGCATGTGATTTTATTTTCAGGCCTGTGAAGACCATGCTCCATTATGTGGTGGGGCCACCGTACCCCAACACAACACTCAATAGTCTATTTTATCCTGGCGGCAAGTGGCACCTGAACGTCACTAACCCATCCACGCATTCCAACGCAGAAACGACGCATTCAAATATCCGTTCTCATCCGATCCCTCTCCAATCCAAATCCCAAATCGAAGTTGATCATTTTCTGCTAAAACGTCGACGTCTTGGCTCCCAAGATGGCCAGCCACCAATCCTCGCCGGAAAATCTCATACTCGTAAACCGCGAACCCAGCGGAATCGCATTTGTTACGATCAACCGTCCCAAGTCGCTTAACTCGCTGACCCGGCCCATGATTATAGACCTCGCCAAGGCCTTCAAGGCCCTCAGTCAAGACGAGTCGGTCCGGGTCATCATTCTATCCGGGTCGGGTCGCGCCTTTTGCTCCGGAGTCGATCTCACGGCCGCGGAGGACGTTTTCAAAGGGGACGTGAAGGACATGGAGACCGACACGGTGGTGCAAATGGAGCGGTGCCGAAAGCCCATCATCGGAGCCATTAATGGGTTCGCGGTCACTGCCGGGTTCGAAATGGCGCTCGCTTGTGATATAATCGTCGCCGCAAAAGGAGCTAAATTCGTGGACACTCATGCCAGGTATGTAATTTTGTCGGATTTCATTTTTTATTTCGGATCCAGACCCATCAGAATCGGTACGACCCGATCCGATCCTAAAATCTTTTAACTGTTTTTTAACAGGTTTGGGATATTTCCGACATGGGGTTTGTCTCAGAAGCTTTCGAGGATTATAGGGGCCAACAAAGCGCGGGAAGTGTCGCTGACAGCGACGCCTTTGACGGCGGAGCTGGGTGAAAGGTTGGGGTTCGTGAACCATGTTGTTGAAGAGGGTGAGTTGCTGAAGAAAGCTCGTGAAGTAGCTGAGGCCATTGCGAAAAATAACCAGGACCTGGTGTTGAGGTACAAGGCTGTTATTAATGACGGGCTTAAACTGGACCTGGGCCATGCTCTTGCACTAGAAAAGGTAGCCATAAATTCCAATTCAAAATCTCAGATGATTTTGACCATTTGGCCCACCCGGCTATTGATTTACTTTTTATTGAAAGTGTTGGGTTTAAATTTCTACAAAACATATGCTCAGATGATTTTGACCATTTGACCCAGCTATTGATCATGTTGTTTAGCAGAAAAACTTGTATGAAACGGGTATAGCACTGGCTGTAAGTGCTGCACTTTCCCGTTTCATGTAAGTGTTTCTGCAGTGGCTGCTCTTCTTCTTCTTTATGACAGAGTATGTATGTGATTGTTATTTTCAGGAGAGGGGTCATGACTATTACAGTGGAATGACCAAAGAGCAGTTTAAGAAGATGCAAGAGTTTATAACAGGTCGGGGTTCGAAAAAGCCTTCTTCCAAGTTGTAGAATTTACTGCTGTAAGCACAAGAATGTTATGTTAAGCTCTCGAAATCGAAAACGTAGGAATGAGCTTAATTTGCCCCTCAAGTGGCCAGCAATCAACATGTTTAGCTGTTTTAAGTTATTGGGCATACATGTAACTCTTGTTAATAACACATTTTCCTTTGTTCAAATTACAATTCGAAATTTTGTTCGAGTTTTATCAGCTTTCTTGAAGTCCAGAAGTATGGCCAATTCATGAATTATGGTATATGGTACATGGAAAATGGTGGAGCTGGTTACCATTTTGTTACAATTTTGAAGTGATTTGTTGCATTGGACAAGAGCTGCTTTGTTTGATGTAAGTTAACCATCGAGCTTTGTCTTCAACAGTTCATCTTTAGGGTTGATTAATACGACTTTCCATTTCCTGTCACTTTATTTATTATGTCGTCTGTGTTCAAATTAGGACGTTCTGTTGTTCTTGTGACGTCTTTCTGCAAATGGAAATGGTAATGGAGGCCTTCTTGGCTCTTGCTCACCCTTAATAATTTAGTAGTTGCTACTTTGAGCTTTCTTACAAATTAGAATTCAGATGTGAAACAAGAACAAGATATGAAATGAAGGAATAGTACCAATTATGATGAGTTTGTTACGGTGTGGAGAACTCGACCTATAGTGCAAAGGAGCGGGCTCACTGCCCTGATAATTTGACAGACTTACCTCTACTTTGATGGATTTGTTTTTATTGTAATAAAGAGCGATATGATCTTATTATTGATATGCGTCTGCAAACATAATTTACTACAACGCTAGAGATTTGCCTTTGGTTTACAGTGTCACTGATGAAAAATCAATGCTGATGGTGACTGTATTTACTGGTTCCTACTAATAGGTCAAAATGGCCGCAGGCGCTCAACCAAATAAGCCTCTGGTGGTTAAAAACGCACATGATGACAACGTGTCAAGGAACAGAAGACAGAGTATACGAACATGCTAAAGAGGCTCACTAGTGAAAAATAATTAATAAGATATGAAGGCATTGTTTAATTTTAGTGTGTTGTGAATAATGGTTTTTTCTCCCTTTTACCAACAAAACAATCCACCCTTTTGACTTTGAGGAATGCTGGTATCTTTTTGGTGTTTGTCATGTACTTATGTTCTAAAAAACTATGGGGTTTTAGGCTTATCAATAGAAATTCAAATTACCAAACCCGAAAGTAAATGTTTTATCCCCTATCAATCAATAGAAAACTCATTATAATATTTGGTTAAAGACATAGCTCGTGCTTTAGGGCCTATGATATAATATTGATAAATAAATACACGTTTTATAATATGAATGAATTGTAATATTATGCGGCAGTGTGACGATTACATTGAAGAATTCCTCATCATACGATAGGATAAAAGTTTGTTAAAATTGTGTTAATCTTTGTTTTATGTCGCTCTTCTTTGCCAAGTTGGCTGCTTCTACTTTCCACATTCCCCTTTTTTCTTTTGGATTAAAGATTCATCCAAAGATTTTGCATATTTCAAAAACTTGTCAAATTGCAAGTCATTGATTAAAACTCTAAATTTGTTTCTTCACTTTTTCTCACTTTGTTACATGTTGAAGTAAGGGATCTCCTGATCAAAATCAGTATCTAAGGAGTAGTAATTAATGTACAACATAAGCAATACTTATAAGGAATTTGCTTAAATTCTTCCCCACGTAAAAAACACGCACGAAAGTATAAGCCAAAGCCACTCACCACAAGTCACTCGGCACTAGGCCACCCCAACCTAATCCATTATCAAGTCCTACTCCTACACCAATAACTCATTACTTGTTCACCCTAAATCAGACGAAAAGCTCTAATCACCGCCTATTACGCCACAATCCGAGTGGGCCCCGCAGCCTTGACTATTTATTTTTATTTTGTTTTTGGTATCAATGAAAGCACAGTCGCATCAAAAAAAATATATTGAAAGCATAGTCACAACAGTCCACAGTCCGTCCAATCACCAAAAAGTCCTGAAAGAAAACGGAACGATAATGGCCCCCTCTTCTTCTTCTGTGACGCCAAAGACGACGACGTCGAAGCCCAACGTGTTCAAGCGATTCGACGTCGTTTCGGACCACTCAGACCACCACTACGTCAACAACAGAAACGGCTGCTGCGGCGGCGGCCGGGTTCAGAAGAAGATCATGCAGGAGTGGAAGATTCTGGAGAAGCACCTCCCGGACTCCATCTACGTGCGCGCCTACGAGACCCGCATCGACCTGCTCAGGGCCGTCGTCGTCGGAGCCTCCGGCACGCCCTACCACGACGCGCTCTTCTTCTTCGACATCGCGTTCCCCTTCGATTACCCGACCCACCCGCCCGAGGTCCACTACCACTTGTCCGGGCTGAGGCCCAACCTGCACC